TGTGTGTGTGTGTGTGTGTGTGTGTGTGTGTGTGTGTGTGTGTGTGTGTAAGTTCAGTGTCATTTCATCCCTGCCTTGTGACCCCCCCAGCTCCCATGTCTGCTGCTAAAATATCTTGCGTGGAGCCTTGCAGTCGTACCCCAACATGCCCACCGTGCAGTTTTCATGTTTTTGTTGCACTGGAGCTTCTTTAATTTGAGGTGTATCCGCGGTAATCCTCGTGACACGCAGCGTTGTGGAGTTAGGAACGTTTGCTCATCATGCTGACTCCTGAGACTTCTCCTGGTGACCTCAGGCAGGTCTCTTCAGCCATCATCACCCTCAGTGAGTGTAGAGAAGTGTTCTCCAGCAGCGTTTTATTATTTAACAGGAACTATAGCATTGCATTTTGATCTGTTTCTGCTGTTTTTTTCTTACTCCACTCATGTATTCTGATATTAATAATGACTAGATAAGCAGGGGTGGGCATGGTTCAGCTAATCAGTTAATAGTGGAACTAATTTTTTGCTCAGCAGATGAGCTTTTTTTTACTAACGTCCACTAAATTAGATTTCATTAACAGCCAGTAGTGGGCACAGGTAACTAAAAAGTTAGCTTTACTAACTGTCAGTTCACTAAATAAAAAGTTGCCGTAACAAATGCTAAATAACTAAACAAGTAAGAAAATTAGTGGAAGCTAATGCTAACTGATAACCGCTAAGATCTGTTATTTAGACATGTGTAATAGCCGCAGAAAAATCAGAATCTTGGCTAAAAGCTCATAAAAACAATTTTCACATCTACCAAGCAGTTAAAATCACAAGCAGTTGAATTGGCAAGAAAGCAAATTTAGGATAAACACCAAACACTAAATGAAAAGTTAGCTTCACTATTTCCTGTTAGCAGATTAGCAGAACTGTGCCCACTGCTAACAGCTAGCTAAGGTTTGCGTCAGTCCCACCAGTCTTCAGCTAAAAGGAGATAAAGACTGATGAGATGTTAGCGTCCGTTAATTTTTCTTGCTTGTTAACATTTTAACGTTAGCAAACCTATACTTTTAGTGAGGGGATTATGAGCTAGCAAAGCTAACTTTTAAGTTAACTGTGCCCACCTCTGTGGATAAATAAATATAGAACAAGCTGAATATTAAAGCTGTGGTTTCTTTTTATTTAATGCATTGTTTATTTGTATAGGGACAAGTGTCAAGTATTTACAATACTGTACACTAAAACATTTATAGCTTAGGCTAATTTGCAATGCTAGTCCGTAGATGGGCTTTTAGCAACATAAAAATAAAACAGCTTCAAATGCAGTTTAAAAAATAAAACATTACAATTTTAAGACAATTCAGACTTAAAACAGGTCATAATAAAAAAGGTGGCAGTTATTCATGATTACAAAACTGGTTCTTCAGAAAATGCTTCATTCTTGATCTAAAATTGTTCCAGTCTGAAATTAGTTTCACATCTTTAGGTAGGGTTTTCCACATGTTTATCCCTTGAGCAGAAAAAGCTGTTTGATCCCAAGAAGTTTTTTTGTAAAGACATCTTTATCTCTTTACTGTTCATATGAGTTTAGTGACAAAAACGTCTTTGTTTCAAAGATTTGTCCAAGAGGTAATCCAGAAAATACAGATTTGCTTATCTTTTATTTTTTTTACAAATCTGACCTAAACTTTATCTGGTCAGCTTTGAACCAGTGACG